ATTATGTAAAAGTTAATTTTGCATTCTTTTATTTAACTTAGCTTCAAACTCAAAGATTTGTATGTAGAGTCTCGTTTTTCAAAAAGTTTTTTTACCTGTGATTACAAGGTATTACAATTATAAGAAATACCTACTTATATTTTAACAAGCTTAATGTAGAATACATTGCAATGAGCATTGCAATGTATTCTATACTATTCATGGTACTGTTCTTGTCTATAGATAATGGTTGCTCATCTATTAAGCGGTGAGCTAGTATACTATTTCATATTTCATAAAAAAAAATTCAAAATCATAATTACTATTAGTAAAGAGGTACATAATATAATTACACCAATTGCTTGGTCCTCAAATTAGGACAGTCTATGTTATCAGGAACTAGGCAATCAAAATCTGGAAGCACAACCCTTTGATTTATGCCCCTTTTTTTAATAACATGTATAAAATCTTCAAAGACCGTCCCTACTGTCGGAGAGAGGACAGAAGGAGTGTATGGGCCTCTTACGTACTAAAAACCACACGATATACCTCGAGGCGTATTTGCCGGATCCCCAGGTTCCATTTGTAGACGACTGGGAGGTGGTTTATGCTCCTATCCTAACCCGAAGTAATTCAGAAAAAATAACTTGGTAATTGGCCGCAACGGTTGTTGGGTATCGAAACTTGAACCCCATTTATACAACTGTTCATCACTTTTTACAGAGATTGTTGAAATATTAAAAACCTTCAAATTTATAATATTGGTATGGCATCATTTGGATATATTGGTAATTAAAAAAAAAACTTTAGCCCTAGGCTCACGGACTGACACGAAGGCAAACTATACTAATCGTTTTACAATAAAATTGACAAAGATGTTGCGTAACATAGATATCTACTCACAGAAAAGCTGACGATTTGACAATATTCACCTGTTGAAGACAATTAATAATAAAATATTAACTAGATTTGTTTTACCAAAGTTTGAATTGTAAATTTAGTTGAAGCTTTAATACTTTATTTTATTTATCAATTGAAACTTTTGTTTCGACTTCAAATTGATTACAATAACATTTAGTGTTATTAAAACAATTAAACTTTGTCTCGGTAACTAAAACTAAGTGCGAATGTAAGTTAAACAAAAACTATATTAAAGTTTAATTTTCTTTTCATTTTTAATGACATATTTAGTTAATACTAGAAAGTAATCATTATTTTCATTATACAGTAAATCGCACTACACATATCGTCATAGTCGTAGAATAGTGACGGATCTTTATATGTATTTTACGACTATGACGATATGTTGAAACTACAAATAATAAGTTATTCAGTTCTCTATCTATGTGAGTAACTATGTTGCAAAATTATATATCATTAAAATTTAAAAGTACTAGTTTTTCCTGGGACTTTGTCTGCATGACCGGGATATATTTTTTACTTTTTGTTTAGTTTTAGTTTAAGTGTAGTTAGAATAAAAAGTAGTCCTATATTTTTTTTTTTTCGCAAATAGTATATATACCAAACCATATGCTGACTGAGAGAATGAACAATTAAGTTGCCAAAAGGTAAAAAATAAACTAACAAACTCTTATATTTGTAATAATAGTAAAGATGGTGTGCAAAAAGTAAATGAAATCTTGGTATTCTTAGATTTTTATGTTGTTTCTATACATTTAAATTCACGATCGAGACTTAACGTGACAAGATTACATTACGTGATTTTAATGTTCACAACTTGGTGCGATCCACGTCAAAACGTCGACAATAAAAATTAAGTAAGTATGTAGCTACTATTTTTCTGTAATCAGGTCTTGTTAAATATCGATCGTAAATTTAAATACTAGACAGATTCTAAACACAAATGATCAATTAAATGAATTTTTTAACAAATTTAATATTATTAAACCTAATCAACATGGCTTTCGGAAAAATGGCTCCACAACTCTTGCAGCTTTCAAACTTGTAAATGAGGCATTGCAAAATGTTAATAAAGGAAACTATACAACTGTGTTATTTATTGATATGTCTAAAGCATTTGACCTTGTGTCCCATGATAAATTATTGTTAAAATTGGAATCTAATGGTATTAGAGGACTTGCAAAGAGTTGGTTACAATCTTACCTGGAAAACAGAAAACAATGTGTGGAAATACAACAACTAGACTCCTAAATCAACGGTACAAATGTTTAAATCTGAATATGAACACAATAGTTACGGAGTCCCTCAAGGAAGCGTACTTGGACCGCTATTATTTCTAATATATATAAATGATCTTGCTGACATAATAAATAATAAAACAATACTTTTCGCAGATGACATTTCAGTTATTGTCTCTACAGATAAAGAATGCTCAATATTGCAACATAAAATGGACACAAGAAAACAATTTTCTAATAAATGTAGGAAAGACAAAAATGATGAATTTTAATAACTTTAAAAATACTTCAATTAATATACATATAAATGAACAAATTATAAATAATGCAAATTGTGTGACATTTCTAGGATTAACAATAAATTCTAAATTGACATGGAAAGAACAAATAGAAAAGGTATATGCAAAGATTAAAAGATTCCCTTTTGCACTCTACAAATTAACCAAGATAGCCAATAAAAATACTGCTATTACAGCATATTTTTCATATGTTGAATCCATGATTAGATATGGATTGCTACTTTGGGGTAATGGCGTTGATATTGGGAAAATTCTAGTTGCGCAAAAAAGTTGCATACGTGCTATATGTAATATTGCACCTGATGTTTCTTGTAGACCTTATTTTAAGTCTCTGAATATATTACCTGTTCCCAGTCTGTATATACTTGAAGCGGGTATATTTGTTAAATTGAATAAGCACATGTTTACAGAAGCAAAAGAGCAAATACAAAGAAGCGCAAGATACCCTAAAAAACTAGTGACCAATACAATTCCTAAAACTAGCCGTTTATTAAGAAATTCCTATATGATGTGTTTGAAAATCTTTAACAATATACCTACGAATATAAAGGAACTTCCATTAAATAAATTTAAAATTGTGTTACGTAAATGGTTACTTAGCAAAAGCTTTTACTCTGTTGACGAATTTTTCAAGAAAGAATAGATAAATATCTAATATAGTTGTCGATGCATAAATTAAATTAATCAATTCCTATCAAAATGTGACATTTGCATGCTATACTGTAATGGCTAAATAGGCACGAAACTTTATGTAATATAAGACCACTGATACCTACCCTATTTAAAGCAAATAAATTTATTATTATTATTAAACATATTTTCAATAACACACAGAAAGTCCTTTGGGGAATGTTTCTGAGTATAATAATTTAAAATGTGTAAAAACATTATCTGTGTTGTCAGCATTTATGTTAAATAACACATAAAAAACAACTTCTTCAGCGGTATTTATTTCAAACATGCCTAAACAGAATGGGCAAGTGCTTACCATAAATAATTTTACCCAAATGCTAAATAATAAAATTACTTGTACCTAATTTTTTACTTTGTTTCTAAACACAATTTCATATCTAAAAAATATATAAAGGTCCTTAATATTTTCTACCACCAGATATTTAATGAGAGATAATCACAACTGTCAGTATTGTAGATATTGGAATAGAGGACCGGCCATAGATTTTTTTTATACAACTTAGAACGGCAAACAAGCTGACGGCCTACCTGATGGAAAGCGGAAACTGTCGCTCATAGACATGAGCAGTACCATGGACAGAACATAGTATACTGTTTTGCCCATGATACCCCCATGCGTTGCCATTCCTGAGGACTCAGGTGTTATTCCTCTGTACCCTGTAAATTCACGTCATATCCCACTCTTCAAACTAAAACACAGCCATGCAAACACACCTGCTTTACGGTTGAAACACGAATGGGACAGAGGTACCCGAGCAAATGACTTTTGTACAATGTTTCTCACTATAGTGATGCTTTTCATACGTCTATCTGATTGTAGTGCTGATTTAATACGAGTATAGTTTGTAATTGAGTATTGTGTTAAATAAAAAATAAAAGTAATAAAAATTTTCTGCACATGAATAGAACGGATCATCTACTTTTGAGATTATTTAATGTAATATATTTCAGTATTTTATTTATACAAATATTTTAATAAAGTGAATAGTAACTAAAAATGTCATTATTGTATACTTGCCTCAACATTTTATACGTCGATATGTATAACACAAAATTCTTTTTCTACCACATTAGTGCTACGTTAAACCAGTATTTTGACACGTACCTTCCACAGCGGTAAAATCTTAATGTCACGCCATATTAATTTACGTTTTTTCGCGTATTTTCAGAAATATAAAATATTCTTTATCTGATACAAACTGTTTATTATGTCTTGCGTATTATTTATAATATATTATATTAAATAAGTAAAATATCCACGCGCGGAGCATGAAATAAACACAGTGAGCGGTTTGTCAATAAAACATTTTCTTCTATATACTGTGTCAATTTATTATCTATATTATAATAAAATTGAATAATTTCCTGCTTTTTTAAAAACCTAAACAAAAACAAGAACCAATTAATGTACTTAAATTAATAATTTTTAAAATCAAGATGTGTTAGTTCTTTAGACTGTCACGAGAAAATAACGAAACAGATTGTAGAGAAATTGTAATTAATAGAATACTCATTAGGCCAACTTAAAAACAGATGTAAAACCCTTTATTTTTATCAGTATTAGGAATTCAAATCGTATATATTTATATTTTTTTTTATTAATTACGATTACCACGCGGACAAAGTCTGCAACATGCAAATAAAATATTTTGATGTAAGATCAACGTAACAATGTTGAAGCTTAAATCACGTCTATATAAGGTGTAACAGGAAGGGTATAACAATCCAAAACGCAGCGTAAATATTCATGAAACTCAACAAATTTCTCCAAGGAAAATGGGTCGGAATATGAAAATAATTTTTAAATCTTTCTAGTATGAAAGATTTTATGTTGATCACGAGACCGCATGATTTGTAGAAAAGGTTTTACCTTACGTAAAATTTAAGAGTCTGTGATTCCTGTCTACCTGAAAGTGATAAAGGCATAAATTAAAGATATTATAAAAAACAATTAGCATAGCTATCTGTGTATTGGTTAGACCGAATACTTAATCACGTAAAATAATTACTGTTTTACTTTTTTTCTGTAATTAAATATATTTGGGGTTTTTAATAAATTATATCTTTTGTAATGGTAACAGTTAACAGTCGGTTATGTGAGACATATTAATGAGGCACTTCTTTTAAAATATGAATTTTATTACAAAAATAAATTTTTACTATACGAATGTATCAATGAAAATAAATAAGTATCTAAATATTTCTATCAGTTATCTAATATCCATAGTAGTATAAGTTCTGCTTCATTTGAGATTAGATGGACGTCATTATCGTATTCATTTTATCATATTTCTATATACAAGTAACATATATATATGAAATGAATTTATGATGAAAAAATTTATACCAACACATTGTCACTTCATATTCTGGAATACCAGTAAATTCATTATCTGTTGAGGCATGTCAAAGGTTTTATTGTACAAAGAAAGTGGTTTAATTTTGATATGAGAGACTACAATGCTCTCACGTGTAGTAGAAGCAGTATAACTTGTTCTACATAAATTTATCGAGACTATTTCGACTAATACCACACCCATAACAACATATTAATGCCTCAATATTGGGTATTGGTCTGTCCCTATTAGAGGGCAATAGAGAAAGCTGTTATTACATTAGTAGACACTATTACCATACAGGCTTGATGTAGAGTCCTATCGTGTTTTCCATCTTTTACCTACTCTAATATTTTATGTTTTATTTTTTTAATTATTTCTTATATAGCTATAAAATAGAAGTATTTGCCAACTTCTCCTTGATCTTATCTAAATAAATAAAAAATATTTGACTTTTTTTTTGTTGTATTTCTAATTGTCAGGACAAGGTTGGTATGAAAGAAAATGTTTGATAAATCGTATGAAAAAACATCCTTACGAAGTAAGGGTGAGCAACTAGTGTATTATAAAAATAAACATTGCTATATTTTCCTTGACTCACACCTGAGATAGCAATGCAAGCGATTCGTCACGTACGTAAACAGGTAAATACTTATGTAATGTAGCTAAATCCAATTGATCTCTGAATATTTTAGATATAATAACCATCGGAACTACTTCAAGGCCGCATAATCTCTACTTTCAAGAAGCAAAACAAATAAAAAGTAAAAATTCCTTAAGTTCTTAATCCCATGTCGGATCTACACGAGTCGATGTATTATGTATCTCTCTGAAAACTTTTTCCTTAAAAAAAATTTGCTAAGAAACATTAATACACTTCGGGAAAATATTATCAAACTAGCTCGGTCCTGAGGATTCAAAATTTTGGACTTGATCATAATACAGAGCGAAATTGTTAACATTTTTTTTAGGAAGCGTTCTATCAAATAAACTGAATATTTTCACTTTTGGTCGAAAAACAAGAAAAAAATTTAAGCATCCCATACTAAATTGGTTGTGACGGCTATTAGTATGAAAGGCTCAAATTTTTTGTCGATTTTGAATATTGTAATTACAAAATTTCTATTCTAATGTATACTTAGCGTAGGTAATTCCTTAATTTTATGGTTTATAGATGTATAAGTTAAATTATAAATTACATTCGAGCTACCGTTACCGTTTTTTGTCAATCATAATAATAACGCCTGTTAGTTACCTGTTGGTTATTATTAGTTTAAATATTATTCGTTTATTAAACGATTTATATACAATTAAACTTAAAATTAGGCGAATGGGGAGTTTCTAGTAGTTGTCATACTTGGCAGATGGGTTGGCAATAGCAGTTAGGCTTTGGTGAAGCCCCTTAGGGGAGGTTTACGAGTATATTCAGCAGTAGACAGTTAATGCCTGATATGATGATGATGTTGATGAAACTAAAAATTATAGTAATTATTAAATTCTTGCATTATTTTTGCTGACATAATATTCTTTTGTTCATAACGTGCATATAGTATTTGTGCGTATATTATAGTATTTGAAGGGTGTTCTATTAAGAAATTATAATACGAGCTGTTTGTTACCTAATTAGACATTAATTCAAGGCACGTTTATATTAAATTAAAATTTAGATCAAACTTAATCTGCGATAAAAAATGACAGTATTTAAATAAATAATTATAAAAATGTGTTGGCATATTTTAATAATTATTTATTTACGCTCTTTTTGTATTGAATCACTTTTAAATTACTTCTTCAAATGCTTCAACATTTTTTATTTGTATTCATTTAATTTGTATTCTATTTTTAAATAAAATACATAAAGAAATAAACAACTGACTGATTACAGGCATGATTTCAGCTGAAAATGCTTAATCTAGAACATTAAATTTCGCGGTTCCTTTCATAATATAAATGAGCACTAAGTAAGATTTTCTAGGAACTCCTACGGAAACTGTTGATAACGAATTCGCCCAAGCGAAAATGCGGTAAGCAGATAATTATTCACAAAACTAATATACTAAGACAGATGTAATTAATTTAATAATAAAAGATTCATTTTAGTAATTCGAGTCTTAAAAATTAATTATAAAATTTTACAAATACGTATTCTATAAAAAAAAGTCAATTTTTTATTAAATTAAAATGAAGTAATTACGAGTAAAATCGATTTATAATTTATATAGACGTCGCATGAGATATTAAACATAAATATAGTTAAATAAACTCTCTATTTAAAAGGTATTTATCAGTACCAGAGGTAGCTACAAAGGTTTTAATCGTTATTTTGTACATTTATGATTTCATAGGACTTAGATATTGTATAGAATTATATAAAATTGAACTGAAAATAGTAAGGTTGTTTACCATATTAAATATTTAATTTATTTAAGAAAATATAATATTAGTGTTGGTAAACATTGCAATGTTAATTATATAGAGAGACACTAATAAAATTTACCGAAACTCTAAAATCGTGTAAGGTCAAGTTACAGTCTAAACAAAAGTCGCTTAATCAAAGTCATCTAAATTTTATTTCAGTTGAACTTAATGAGACTTACAAAGTCCCGTTAAAGAACACCTATTTGTAATCTTGATGTTGTTGTTCGTCTTTATCCATCACAACTTGAAATTTCATTATTAAGTTTAAATTAGCTGAAAATTTTATTATTAGGTAAATTTCATTGTTCAGATTGTTGCATAACAGTAATAAATTCAATTGACTTAAAATCTCAGAGATTTTCTGTGTCGTCATTATCTAATTTCCATAAACTTTGCCATTGGAACAATGTTTTACATATTTAGCAAGTATTCAGGAGTGGATTGTGAGTTTTCTTGTATTTTATTTGACGAATAGAATATTGAACTAAGGGTGAATACGCACTGGGAATTTCTATCGTACGGTTTTACACCACACGAATTGAACACTTTCTTTGCACAGTTTTTTTTCCCAATGGACGAAACAGAAGATAAAACCGATATATTACATTGATATATCCTTGATATATTACAAAATTGTGTGACAAACTGTAAAACGTATCAACTTTTTATCAGAATTAAGTTAAATTTTGTTTTCTTATATTTCTTTACATGAAATTTTAGGGTGTGGTTTTGCACGTTTTATGTAGAAGGGATGGATTTTATATAAAAGCAGAGTTTATATTAATTGATCATTTAATTTTCATTTAAAAAAAGAAAAGAAAAGTAAAATTATATTGTCACTACGTTAACTAGCATCAAGGAAAAGAGCAAACAAAGTTCATTTATTTTCTTTCAATCCTTTGTCCCATTTATTTCATTTTAGTTTCTTTCTATCCGAAAAACTTACACTTACTCATATATTAAAAAATAGCTTTATCCCACGATTTCATATGCGTGAATTAGTATATGTTTAGCACAAACGTTGGAATATAACCTACCCATGTATTAAGTTCCGTTTATTACTCTTTCACGCAAATCAATTTTTAAGTAATAAAAATTCATTAATTAAATATTGAATAGAATAAATGGCTATTTACATTGTATTTTAAATAAATTCTGTAACGCATTGAAATAAATAGTTAATTTTTAACAATTTAGTACAGTCTTAATTTATGGTAATGATGTACTGTTATTATATAGTATTTCAATGGTGTCTTGTTTATACTCTTTCATTATTACAAAAATCTATTTTTAAAAGAAGTGTTTACAATTTATAATTAATGTGAGAACGTGGAAGTAGGTTATTACTTAATACTCGGCAATTCTCAGCAGAGAGCTATAAATACATCATGTTCATAAGGAAAGGGAAGTCATTATTATTTTATAATCAAGCATTATTGCCAAAGTATTATATTTGATAATTATATCAGTTATCCTCGAATATTATCATTAAATAGAGTTATTTTCTTTCAAAGTCAATTTAAAACATTAAGTTTTGTTGACACTGCAATAATAAAGGAGTGACTCGTTTAATTATTGATTATATAAATCATAGTCTAAAAAAATAGTAGTAGTATTATAAGTACTTGCAATAACAACCTAAGCTAGTCGTAGTTTTTAATTACGCTGCAATGCTGTTATAAACAAGTAAATATAATATATTTATTGATTTATTGCTTGAGTCAGTATTATTATCATAAGCTTATTATTATAAATTAATATTATTTATTATATAAATTAATTGTAACAAATTGAATTTGTCATGATGGGCCAACTGACCTGACTTTATTGTCACGTATTACCCTCATTAGTATCCCACTAGCATATATCGGATAACGCATGTGAAGTTGCCATTCAATTGTAATTAAAAGAAAATCTTAACGTATTTCGAACTTGTAAAATTTGCATACTTATTTTTAGTTAGCTACTCTAAATATTACTTTGAATAAATTTTCCATTAGCTTTGCAGTTAACATCTCATATTATATACGTATAGTAAATTATAGAGCTACATTTATGTAGTTGTTGACATGTCGAAACTCAGCGATGTATGTAATAGAAACTTATCTGTCACTCTATGTTATCATTCGGGTGTTAGTTTGTCAAGTATTTTG